GAGGTTTATGTGCTTCTATTTGTGCCTCACACAGACGCTGATTTTAGCGACACAACATTGTCAAACCGGTTAGCACAGGAGCGGTTGTGTACGGTGAAATGTTCATCGCCTGCGAGTAGTTTTAGTCCTCAGATGGGCATCATTCGACTTTGTTGTGCAGCATAGTTCAGGAACACTTCATGGATGCCTCTGTATCGCTCCGTCTTTATCCTTCATTGATGCAGTTTTGGCTTTCGTGCAGTCAATAGCTACATACGGGGCAACAAGGTAATAGTAAATATCTCATCTAGAGGCTGACTTGATTCAAAAACGTCACGATATTTTGTGCAGGCATTTGAGGTTTTCTTGCTGGAGAAGCATCCACCAAATCTTCAGTCATGTTCGTTGATTTTCCGCCCATTCACCTGCCGTGGTCTTATAATAACCTATTACCACCGGGTCCTTTCGTCCTGAGATCGTTTAAGCCAATTTTCATCTGGGGCACTCAGTACAGCATCCTCACTCTCTGAGAATTGAACTCATGACAATGAATAACGGTAAATGCTCCTATTCTACTATTCTATAAATGGCTAGGCACAATAGAAATTGAAAGGACAGATGAAATGGAAATTATCTTTGCGGAGTATTGACCAGTGGAAGTAAATTAAGAACTAGGTGATTACTAGAAGGCATTGTTATTCACGGTTTCCGACGGTTGATCATGAGAACCAGACTATACTCAACATTGAAGTCCGAATCATCCTAAATCGTCTATTGGTTTCTGAACTCAAACAGGGGATAGTTCCACTTGGAATATGGATTTGGATTTCACGGCTCGCGAACGTGTTCAAACCGAAATAGGATTAAGCGGCTTGAATAAAATTGGTATTTGTGTCTCGTTTGTGGATGCAAATTCTTGTTGCTCTAGCCTCTCGAACTGCAACATCGAACACCTCATTTTAATCATGATGCCATCTCACGCCACCTGATCGATGAAAACCCTTCGATTTAAATGTAAATTCCACCAATGGTCACCTAACTTGATTGTTATTGATTTCGGATCTATTGAATAGGCTTCGGTTTGTCTTGTTTCTCACTGACCGTGTTCTGATTGATATTCATCTGTATTTGATTTGTGTTATATACCCCGTTAATTTTTGCGACGATCATGGAAGAGAGATTTACGACGACACTATTAGTCGATTCCCAATGGAACGGATGTCACATATTTATTCGCAGCTCAGTTTTTAAGACCTCTCATTCAACACAGGTGGCAAACAAAACTGTTGCAACTCGGCATGTTTGTCTTTGATCTGCGAATAGCGTTATTACCCTTTGCCATTTAGGTGTGTTTATCACCAATTGTGCTTTATTGGATACTCACGTGCTTCTCTTTCCTCATCACAGACCAATCCGTCGCGCAGTTCGGCTTCACAAGAAACTCCCTATGTGGTTCGATTACGTAATTCTCAAGTTTTGTCAGAACCGCAAAAAGTATTCACGTTCGTTCACCCAAAACCCGGTGGGTACATGTGGCCGCATACCTTTCATTCTGATGCTGTTGTGTCTTGTTATTGTTCTTTTCATAGCTGTTTGTCGTAGATTGTTTCTACCGCCCTTTACCCTAATGATATGCACAGTCGACTGTTTCTTGGCGGTGCCCAGGAACCAAATTAATTTACGAGGTACAACAACAACAACCAACCAGCGCGATCGGTTTCTTGTTCACAGTAGCCACAACGTCCGATAAAACACACTTTGCAGGGAATTGAAATTGCTGCAAACCAGTGTGTACCATTCTATTCCGTTACTCGGTCAACTTCACATGGCTTCAAAACGATCTATATCAAAGAATAACAGTCTATAGAGCTCACAATCGTGTTGTATTACTATTCCGTTTTCTACTAATGTCTTTCTCCTAACTTTACTTAGCGATAGCCGGTTCCTTCTCGGTTTCCGATAGCTCCCTGGGAGCTCATTGGCTATTCACTAGATGCGAATACCATCCAGTGACCCACACATCGCGGTAATTGGATTAGAAAGTAGATCCCATCGGCACAATGTGGGAGAGATAACTCTGCGTACCATACACTACCTCGCTGGAGATTTTGGACTTAGATTGGATTGAGCAATTGGGGTTTTTTAGCATTAGATGCTGTTCTCGTGACGGCTTTTCTTTTTAAACCGCATAACCGAGTTGACATGTTATCCCGAGATTTACTTGAATACGATTATTGTCGTTTTTGATGGAACTTTCGCATTCAGACATCCCATTACACACCTGATAAACAAAGATTTCAAAAGTCGTCAACTCTGTTCTTCGCACCCGAAACAGATTTGCAAGAGTCCAATGCACGGTACACGATCTGCACTTTCCCCATGGATCATGAAGCGATTGTGCACGGGCTAGCTGGTTATTTCGAGGCTGTCTTATTCGATGACGTGACTCTGAGTGAGTGAAATCTGTTTCTATTTTTTGTTATTACACGAAAGTGCATACAGTAAAAGGGGTAAACCCCATGATCCAAAGTGGGGAGGTATGGAGAATATTCAAGCTAAAACCAGCTTGTTGATTCTGCGTTTAAAAACATGGATGTTGTACGCTGGAGGGAAGACCGAAATGGAGAGTGCTTCACAGTTGTGGTGTTCTTGGGAAAAAAGATGATTGAAAGTTAGAAATGCGATACCTGGGGATAGTCACTTGAAAGGGGTGGCTAGCCGCTTGTGCGCGGGATCTACGAGGAAGAACAAGTGGGAGAGGGACAGATGCGGAAAGTTCATCAGAGCAAAATCCAAAGTAGTATCAACAGAACAAGGATAAAAAAGTGACTGTCTGACGGTGAACTAGTGACTGCAAGTTAAATGTTAGGGATGGGTCGTTGCTGAGACAGATGGCCTTACGTTGAGCCCGATCAAGAAGAGATAGTGAAGAAGACGAAGCTCCACCCCACACATAACTACAGTATTCAAGTGTAGGGCGAATCTGAACTTTGTAAAGCAAGAGGAGGTGAATGGGGTTGAAGAAACGTACGGCGCGGAAGAGGAAACCAATTTTGCGCGCAGCGCGGGAAACAAGTAAATAAATATAAGGTGACCATAAAAGGGAAGAAAATAAGGAAGGAGCCAATAGGTTGCATGATTCTGTGGAACGGAGAATGTTCGAATTAAAATTCAAAGGGGAGAAGGTTGTGTGTTTAAGAAAAATGGACATAAGGGGAGTGTTACTGGCATTGAACAGAACACGGTTTCTGCAGTCCCAAGCAGAGATAAGGCCCAGATCAGAATTTAGGGAGAAACTAAGGGAGGAGCGGTCGTCACTCATGCTGGAGTTAGCTATGCGCGAAGAGGAATATGACAGAGAACAGTGTGGAGTAGCGTCATCGGCAAAAGCGTGAATAGGATTTGAAGTTGTAGAAAGAAGGTCATCAACATCAGAAAAAGGGAAGGAGAAAGTACAGAACCTTGGGGAACACCAGCATTCACAGACGCGGAACGAGCCATGATTCCTTCTACTCTGCCGGCGATGCTGCTGTCCTTGAGGTAGCTTGCTGTCCAGGATATAAGTTCCTAAGGAAAGCCAAACTTGGGTAGTTTAACCAGCAAACCGGCGTGCTAGACACGATCAACAGCTTTCGATATATCCAATGACATCGCATGGGTTTCCCCGTGGTTGTCGAGTGCCGCTGACCATGTATGCGAAATGAGCGCCAGGAGATCACTGGTAGACCGATGTGATCGGAAACCGTACTGGCGTTCGCTAAGTATATTGCTCTGCTCCAGGTGATGGCGGAGTTTTTCAGCAACAACTGATTCCATAACCTTCGAAATGAATGGTGTGAGAGAGATGGGGTGGTAGTTGTTTGGGTCAGAGTGGTCGCCGCGTTTGGGGATTGGAAATATTTCTGATATTTTCCATGGGGTTGGGAATATCTTTTTATTTAGATATAGATGGAACAAACGACGTAGGAGAGGATCCAGTTCTGGGGCGCACATTTTGAGGAAAATGGGGGGAATCCCGTCGAGTCCAGGTGACTTGTGTGGGTCCAGCGACAAAAGGATCTTACGTATTTTTCTGTTGGAANNTGTAAAAGATGGTTTGTCGTAGGGTGTATGCAGGGTTGGATGGGTGATTCGAAAAGGGTATAATAGGAAGCAAACACTTCTGCTTTTTCCAACGGGTCGGATGCTATGTCACCTGATGTTTTAACAATGAGTGGGAAGTTAGTGGAACAAAAGTTACGGGAGTGACCAGAACGTCCGGCTTTCGGAAGGAGCGGTCGCCAATTGTGCTGCTTTGCGTTCAACAGAATGCTCTTTAGCGTTCTCTATGATGGTTGCAC